AAACTCAGAGATCAGAACGATTTCAGAGATCAGAACGATCAGAACTTAATAAAATTTAAATTAAGCAACGATTCCCATATTATATCTTTTGTATTAGATCTGTATTAAAATCTACGAACGTGTTGCACATGTTTGGATAGCCTCATCCAGCGAAATGATTCCTGAGATTCCAGGAACTACCAGTTGCAGCAAAATACTCTAATTTTTAAACTGTGAAGGAAGGGAAAATTTCGCAGGTGTCGTAAAGGCGCCGCCTACCTTCGGGCTAGGCATACCAATTAATATCAAACCGCAAGCTTATGGTGGAAACCTTCCTTGAAGGCAGGGGGTATGATATACGGTGTCCGAAGGAGGGCAAATATCCTGATTTCCGCCAGATAAGCTCGCGCCGATGTCGCGTACATACACCTCCGCTCGCGCAGTGTTGTTGCGTATCGTTGGAGATTACAGTAGTCACACGCAGGGTCAACCCTGCGTTGCGCAAATTCCAAAATTTTTACTTATGTCTTTCACATAATTTAATGCTCATCATTGATGTGTGGGCAGTCACCAACATGGAGAAGTGGTGGACCGTGGTCAATCCGCGCGCTCTGTCTCGCTCAGAGGAGGAATCGAGGCAACATGAAGTTTTATTCATTAAATAGAAGGAATTTCCAAATTTTTGCGTAAACCAATACATGATTTAATCACAAAGATTTCTACTTTCAGAAACCTACCAAGTTTTTTTCGATCTCTCAATTTCCTTACTTTTATAATCTGAAAAACTAAACCTTGTAGCAATTACGTTGCAATCCAAACCCCTCCATTCAGAAGGTTATATTTTTTTTTTCAGAAGCGGTCTCATGGAACCGGACACCAAAATTTTAAAAATTCAAATAGTTTTCTTCCTAAAAAGTATTTGAAATGTTGTGGATGTTCAATATTTCAAAAAATCGTCCCGTTGTTCCGTTTTTGTGCACACGCGAGTTTTCGACATTCAAACATTCATAACTTTCTTCATACCCAACTTTTTGCAGATGTCTATGATTTTTTTCAAGCCTATTTTCCTGGACCGCGACTATGCAGTCTTCAAAGGCCCATAACTTCCTTTAAATTAATGTGATGAGAAGCGGTAAAGACTGTTAGAATCCACTCGAAGAGTACTTCATAAACTGTGAAATTTTCCTGAAATTCTTTCTTCTGCCTCAATTTTCCTACGGGTCTCTAGAACTCAATTCAGCAAATTCGCTACACTTTGTTCCGCTTAGATTTGATTTGAAAGCATCGAAATTCTCTTCAGAAAGTTTGTCTGCTTACGGCCGCTGACAGAGAAGGCGTTTTATGGGAAAACGCCTGCTCGGGTATACGCCGTGCACCTGTCTGTGGCAGAAGTCGCACTCGCATTTGAAAGTCCTCCATTTTCCTGAAGAAGGTGTTAGTATCGTGATTGAGTTGCATTATATGGTACTCTTGTTTCACTTCCCCATGAACTGCTCTACACTTTGTTCTCCTTGGGATTTCAGGAATGTTCGATCATCGAAGACAGACCATGTTTTTGCACTACGCTGTAACAAAGTTTTTGGCTATTGTAATCTTGATCTATGCTGTCGAGCGAAAGCGCCGTCCGTGTATTAAGGATAATAATGGCTGATAGTGAGACTTATAATGCTCTGCATGCTCTAATGCTCCCATGGAGCTCTTGTCTGTGTGACTCTCCGACAGCTGCACGGTGCAGAGCTCCTGGAGAACATTAGAGCGTGAAAGTGCACTGCGGACACTGCACTTTTCAAGCCGTCTTGCAGCCCTTTGCAGCCCCGTCTCTCTAGATACGACCCCCTCCCCCATTGTTCTCTGCGCAACGGGCGGTTGATCTTGGTCACACGCCTTTTTTGTGGTGCAGTTGCACTTCTGTTGACCATCCAACTTCCAGTAATTCGCTTCATCTCTGTCTGTGTGAATTTCACGAGATTCGGTATTGCATGTAGAATAACCCGCAGAGACAGAAGTAAAGGCGAATACAGACAAGCGGGAAGGAGCTGGTCAAATCTTTTTGGTGGCTAGGGTTGAATTTGTAAATTTTGGCCTCGCAGTATGGCCCATATCGCCGCAGAACGGTGTTGTGCGCGCAACAGCGTGTGGCACCAGATGATGTTTGATGAGGTGGCTGCCGATTGATGAAGCGAATACAAAAAGTGGGATGGTGAGCCGAAGTGTAACTGCACCTCAGAAGCAAGCGGGTGGTCACGGTAGTACGTGTACGCAATCACATCGCGCGAGCGGAGGTGTTTGTACGTGAAATCGGCGCGGCCTTATCTACCGGAAATTAGGGTATGTCTGCTTAAAGATGTTTTGTGCCTCTAAGAAAGAGAAACGTGGGCAAACGGTGAGTTGGGAGCGCTCTTTGATACCTTCACCTTTCATTTCTGTCGGCAATCGAACTTTACGTGTCGTCCGTTTTCAAGGATGAGGACAAAACACTATCTTATTCATCTTTCACTTCGAACCGAGCAAAATTTTTCAGACGCGATCCATGTAGCTGGCAGAAGGTCGGGTAAACTGATAAAAACTAAATCGTCACTCGAATACATATTATTGGCTTTGATTGCGCAGGCCCGTGAAATAAAAACTGAATATGGCAATACTTTCGAAACACCCTAATAAATTTGGCTCAGGCTTTCTATGCAAGCTTGGATGGTTGACAAATCGCACACGGTTCCTATCCAAGACACTCGAATTCGTATTCGTACGGAGAAAATCTCTAGAAACCTATGTACGAAGGGTAAAATGTTCTAACCTACTTGTCTCTTGGTGTCAAAGTAAAAATGCTCGCGGATGACCTGAAGATTAATGGTGCTGTCGATATCTTGTTCTTCTCAACTTCAGGAACCCATAGACGCTATTGCAAGGTCCAAAGTAACTTTCTTCCGCTTTCCATCCATAAAGCTAAGGTACCCCATTTAGGAAAATTCAATCCAAATATACAGTACAACATAAACAGTTCCTTGATGCAAGCACATCAGTGAAGCATTTGGGTTTCCTTGCTCACTTCAGATGCGTTTTTATGAGCATCTGAAGACTTGATAACCAAAGCAGAACAAACGGTCTACTTGCTTTTCAAATCAATCTAATCTAATGATCTATTCTCCACATCGTTGCCGTCGTGAGCGGTTTCGTCTGCTCTATTCTGCTAACTGTACTCGCCTGTTGGGTAAATTCCTACTATACTGTTGCAACGTGGTATTCGTATAGTTGTATACACTACCAGCTTTCACTACGAGGGATAGGGAAGCTCTAAGCTACTTCGGTCGCAGCTAAAGTTTGATTATTCGATATAATAAGGTTGTGTTGTCGGCAGTTACAATGTCAAATAACCGATCGCGTGCTCGTCAGAGTGGTAATGACAAGGAGGTCACGAGTTGCACTACGCCTGCTAGCGGTCCTTCGGAAGCCGAAATCGCAAAAATGTCTATGAGTGACGTGATTAGCGCCAATGATAGAGCACAATGAGCAGGTAAAAGATCCTGTAATGACCAAGCTTATAAATGCTCTTGTTACCAAAATGCCTCAAACTGTCGCTGAGGCTGTAGAAGAGGACAAAAGGGGTCGCAGCTTGGTCTTCTCGGGGATACCCGAGTCGGCACCTGGCGTCCCGCCTTCTGGCAGACAGCGTGAAGTTGAGGCAAAGGTAACGGAGGTTTTGGATTTCCTTGGCGTAGAGTGTAGACCCGTGGAGGTCTTCCGCATGGGCAAGCCCGGCGGTAAGCATCCACGTTTGGTCAAGGTGGTTTTACCATCCTAAAAATCACTGGGTAACTGCACTTTCAAACGGTCACCGCTTGCGTACTTCCGCCTTGTCAGATGTGTACGTACGCAGAGTCTGACCCGTGCTGAGCGCGAGCGGGAGAATGCCAAAACGGCAAACGTCGGGA